AAATAGTCCCAAAATAAATCTCAAGTTGTTTCATCTGAATATCTCAACTATCCGTCACCAAAATTGCCTCATATTAAAGGCAAAAACAGCAGAAAGGAAACAGACTCAAGACAAGAACAGGAAATTCCTGGTAAGAAAATAAGTTTTATTTTCTCTTCTTGTTGCTTGTCAGTTGTGTTACCAAGTCTTTGTTGGGATTCATAAAAATGTATACATTTTATTTTAATAACATTTATTAATAATGTTCTTTGTGAAATGTAAACTATTCTTTTAACTGATATCTGAATTAATTCAACTGGCCTGAACAATTTAGTATGATTTTTGATATATTCAAAGAAAGAATTATTGATAATTCCCTGAATAGGTAAATATTTAAAATCACATTATTATCTGATAAATTTTCTTTTGACATAAAATATATTTCCTGAAAAAAAAATGTTTACTTGAATTTATTAAAGAAAATATCAAGTAAATTATTTAATATAATTAAGTAATATATTGGAAATGAAAAACTCCCAACTTGTAATTAATGTTTTATTTTACTGAGGCATTTAGTGGCCAGTAATTTTTCATTTTTTATTGATTTAGATGTAACAAGTTATTATCTTACATTATTAAAATTTATTTAATGTACTTGTTAGAAAGTAAAAATTAGAAAAATTAAATTTGAATTCTTCAGCTGATATAATTTTTAACTTCCATACAAAATAGGGAAAGAATAAAGTTAATGTTTAGTATTTGTCCATTATGAATTTCAGAAGTTTATACTGCTCAGTACTGCAATTCTCAATCAAAACAGAGTGGGCAGCCAACACAAGAAACAGAGATGAGGCCACTGGGACAGACTGTCAACTACCCAAGTGATACAACAATTGTGGCCAGGGGCTTTTACTCACCAAGCCTTACACAAAATATGGAAAACAAAGACTCTGTAAGAGAGGATAGTAATTCTTCTGATATAAGTCAGCAATCAGCAGGAAATATTTATCGTAATCCAAGACCCTTACCTCCAGTACCCCAATAGTCTTATGCAAGTTTTAAATTGTAAATCTATTATGCAACTTTGAATGTAATGACTTGATATTAAATTATTTTAAAAATAATATTAATTTAGTAAATATCAGATACATAAGAATTCTCATTCATTTTCTAAGTAAAGATATTTTAGTTAAATACAATTTTTAGAATAAAGGAAACAGAATTTCATTTGTAAATAAAATATTAAATATCACAATCATCTGCAAACAAAATGCACTTTCTATAAAAACATAAATAAATTAGAGTAACTTATTAAAATATTATATTTAAATGTATTTCATTTAAAAATGTCTCATCACTTAACATTATATATAAAAAAACATTTTTACTTAATAGATACATATATGTTTTTAAACTTACATGAACTTATTTTGGTGTAATCACTGAAGAAAGCCATCATTACATTGTCTGAAGAAGAGAGAAAGAAAGAAAGACAGACTATAAAGGACAAAGGAATGAATTAACAAATTGCATTTTGGGAGTATAACATTAATTTCTCTTTATTTAAATATTTTTCATTTAAACATTAATATATTTATATTTCTGAATATATAAACATTTAAAATATATTGTTTTTTTAAAAATGATCAAATAAAAAATTTAATCAGTGAGATTTATTTTGTACATGATGAATAGTATTCGTAACTTATTGTAGCAGCCATTGCACACACACAACACACTCACTAGGACTACTGCCTCCTTTTTTTCATCAACCTGAGAAACAAAACATTTTTACTCTGAATAATATTATTATAAAGGAACAGCTGCAAACTTTAGAATGAGTATGTAGCTCCCATCTTGTCACCGATTCAAGATACTTTAATGACAAAGGTAAGTAGATTTCAGTTTCTGTTTGTTGCCTCTTCTAGTTCTAATTATCTGCCATTTATAAAAGCTCAAATCTAGCAGAATGCACAGTTGTACCTCTATCTATAATTCCTGTCTTAAAAATCAAAGTAAAGCTTTTCCTTAAGTTTCTTATTTTGATTGATTTTACTTTTTATTCATTAATTTAAATTTGACATTTCAGTAATTTAACAACCAAATTTAAAACCATAGTTCATACTAGTATCAGTTTTCTTTCTTTATAACGTTCACTGTGTAGAATGAATGAATTTATTGATAATAGAATAAACAGTTATTCTCATTCATACTTTTACTTTTCTAAAACATGCTTTTTTAAAATTTATAAACAATATTTCTTAATAAAAAACTTTTTATGTTTAAACTAGACTAATTATTGTAATAAAAAATTTGCTATTAAGGTATAAGATTCAGAGAAATGATTTGAAAATTTGGATAAAAAGGCAAAAAAAAACAAAATAAATCACAATAGCAATTAATCTAGTAATATTATTTAGTTTTCAGATTTTTTAAGAGCAAACAATTAATATGGCAACATCTAATTTGACATTCTAAGTCTTAAATATCACAAGAAAAATTGATCGTATTACCTAAATTCAGATGGTGTAAATGAAATATTAGAGGAACTTGTGCTGTTTAGTTTTATTCCACACTGAGTCACTGTAAAATTATATTAATTTAAAACATAATAATTGTATTTTATGTTTCAAAGTCAGGTTTTGTATGATTTTAAAATCATGTAATAATGTAAAATAATTTATTTTCATAGACTGATGAAAATACTGACAGAAATATTTCTTACTGATAACAGTAGATAATTCTTTTATGTTTCAGAAAAACTACATTAAAGACAGTTCATGAAAATCAACAAAACATGTTATTACAAATATATATTCCTTTTTTGTACTACACTTTGTCTATGGTGCAGACTTAACATTTACTGTGGAAGAAGGAAAAAGTCCCGGCACTTACCTGGGAGATATTGCTGCTGATTCTAATGTCATGGATGATGTGGCAATTCAAGATCAAAATCTCATTTCATTCAGTCTTATGGAACAGGATGGTACAAGTAGTTCTCCATTATTTCGGATTTCTAAAAAGACAGGAAAACTTTACACAGCACAAACATTGGATGCTGAGTCTCTGTGTACATTCAACAAGGAATGTTTCTTGATGGTGGATGTTGCTGTTCAGAAATCTAAAAGAATTATGAAGATATTAGAAGTGAAAGTGAAAATTGAAGATGTCAATGATCACCAACCTGAATTCCCTGATAAGCAAATCAGCATAACATTTAATGAAGATGTTGTTCCAGGTAGCAAAAAAATAATTCCAAATGCTGTGGACAAAGATATTGGAAGTGTCAACTCTCAGATTACATATGAACTTAAGAAATACAAAGATGAGCAGTTTGGTTTATCTGTTTCTAAAAATGTGGATAGAACATCTGATCTCTACATTATCCTCAAAGAGAGACTGGACAGAGAAGTGAAAGACAGCTACATGGTAAAAGTGATTGCTAAAGATGGAGGATCTCCTCCCAAGCAAAGTATTTTAGATGTTCATATTTCAGTTGCAGATGTTAACGATAACCCTCCAGTCTTCTCTCAAAATCTTTATAATGTTACAATAAAGAATGAACCAAGTGAAACATCTTCCATTGCAACTTTATCAGCCACAGATTTAGATTCTGGTAAAAATGGAAGAGTCACATATCATTTTAGTACAAAAACATCTGATGTTGCCAAAAATCATTTTAAATTAAATGAACAAACTGGGCAGATCTTTTTGGAGAAGAAATTTACTTTAAGTAATATGCTGACATATAACCTATATGTGGAGGCATCAGATGGGGGTAGTCCATCTTTAACTGCAAAATCAATGGTTCAGGTGAATGTGATAAACCAACAAAATAATCCACCAACAATTCACTTGAAATTTTTGTCAGCATCAGGAAAAGATTCAACATCTGTATCTGAAGGTATTGAAGTTGGCAGTTCAATTGCATATGTAAAAGTGACTGATCATGATGTTGGACAAAATGGAGAAGTGAGTTGCGATCTCCATTATGATAAATTTAAACTGCAAAGTCTGGATACAAAAAAATATCAAGTAATTGTGAAAAAGCATTGGATAGAGAAACAGAGGCAAAAGCATGAAATTATCATCAGCTGTCAAGATAAAGGATCCCTCCATTGCAAAGTAAGAATAAGTTCTCTATCCAAGTGACCGATGTCAATGATGTAAGACCACAGTTCTCTGTGGAGACATTTAAATTCTTCATTGAAGAGAATCAGAAATCCAGATTTTCTGTTGGTTTCATCAATGCGACAGATCCAGACTTGGGACTTGGAGGTAAACTCACTTATTCTCTGCTAACCAATAATAAACAATTTTTACCTTTCAAAGTCAAAGATGATGGCATGATTTCAGCAATTATGTCACTGGATCATGAGTTTCAAAACATTTATAAGTTTCAAGTATTTGTGAAAAGATAATGGAATACCATCTCTGAATAATACAGTGAATGTGATTGTTGAAGTGACTGATAAAAATGATAATGCTCCATATTTTACATTTCCCAGTGTTAATCCTTATAATATGGATATTGTATATTTCCGCATCATTCAAAAGAATATCACGTCTCTAAAGGCAGCTGATGGAGATAGTCAAGAGAATGCATTTCTAAAATATGAAATAATTAGAGGCAATGACAAGCAGATATTCAGCATAAACCAGTATACTGGTTTATTAAGTTTCAATCGAGTGCTTAGCCAACAAGATGCTGGCTCATATGAGCTAGTATTTGTTGTGAAGGATAGTGGTAGCCCAGTTCTATCAGCAACAACTAGTATGTTTTTACACTAACTGTAAGCAACAAGACAGAAATGCTAAGTGCCATTCATACGATAACTGAAGATAAAGTTGATCTTACATCAGTGATTATTATTACGGTTGTAGCAGTGACGGTAGCAGTGATCATTACAGCTTCTATATCAGTATGTATCATTCGATGTAATGACCAGAGAAATGTAACCTATGCCCATGCAATGAATCCCCCAAATGTGGTTGGTACACCAAATATTGGTCCAAGTGGCATGTACATGAGTGACCAGAGACATTTAATGTGCCCTTCAAAGCAAGGAATATCTTGGCCAACTGCTGTGAGCAAAACACATGCTGATAAAATAAGAAATGCACATATAAACCAACAAAGCAGAGAATCCCATTCTGCAGAAAAGCTTCCCAATCAGCAGAAAAGATCAGCTTCTCTCCCACCAGCACAGACACTAACTCAGAGGGAGCCACAGGTAATTGCTGCTTATTTTTATTCCACTTTTATGTTAAAACTGATATTTTTAATTATTTTAATATTATGAACGTTAACAGTAAAATAATTATACATTCATTCATTGTGCTTGTAATTCATAAAAATATGTCTGCTTATGCATGTTTTTTACATTGTCTGTGTTTAAATTATATTTTTTAATACGTAAGATAGATGACACTCTTTAGTCATTCTAAATCAAGTTTCATTAACTGTTATTTTCCTAAAATATGATATCAATAATCCCTAAAATAATGAATTATCTTTTGTTGGTTGCTAAATCTAATCTTGAAATACTTTTCATGACTACTTTCACCCTCTATGCTTGAAAACTGTGTCCCATAAATGATGCATGTGTACTCTGTTCTTGAAAAATTATTATTAACAAGGTTTTATGTTTCAAGAAATGTCTACTTTGTATATTTATCTTCCATTCATTTATTCTAAAGGGTCATCGACAAGAAGAAACTATTTTACCGAATGATACAAGACATAGACCACAGGAAATTAGTTCTTTTGATTACCACAACCAACCATCACCAAAGTCATCCTATCGAGGCACTGGTGGCTCTAACAAAAGTGATGTAAACACAAGTCAAGAAGAAGACACGGTTGGTAAGTAAAATAGATATTATGAACAGTTTTATCAAAATTAATAACATATTTATTCAGAATATCTTTCAAAATATCTTTGGTGTTATTGAAATAATGACATGAGCTGTAATTACTTCTAGAATATTTTATTTACAATATATTTATAATCAAAATATTGAACTGATCTGTGGATTATTTGTTAATTTAATTAATTTTCATTCTTCAAAACTGTAAAGTAAAATAATCAGTTGAAGTCCTCTTACAGGATGGAAGCAGGGGAATCAATAAATTTCTTTTATTAACAATATTTGCACATCTCTATACTAGATGTCTTCTTATTAGTGTTAATTTTCTGGGACATTTAAACAATGATTTTCTTTGTTGCAAAATGAGAAAAATATGAAGATAGGATTCTGAATGTCAAAATTAATTTTCAGTTTAATAAAAATGAATCTGAAAATTTCAATTTAAAAAATATGTCTACATTTTGTATATAACATCGTAAACACTGTTGAATATGATATATGCTATGAAATTAAGATTAATACTTCTTCAGACACATTGTAGCAATGCTCTGGTTTGTAAGATGCTTTTATAAATTGTAAGTGAAAAATTAGATAAATTTAAAAACTCAAGACACTGCCTATTCATAATTAATTTGTAATTTAGTTTTATTTTTTAATGTGCTCAACAAAAATTATAGTCATTACTATTAAAGTAAAAAAAAAAAAATACTGCTTTACCAACTCAACTGTTTTAAAGCAGCAAAATGAGGTACAAATTGCCTGTTTCTTTATCCCTGCTTTCCAGAAGTTTACACTTCCCAGTACTGCAATCCTCGATCAAAACAAATTGGACAACCAACTCAAGAAACGGAGATGAAGCCATTGGCAGAGACTGTCAACTACCCAAGTGATACAACAATTGTGGCCAGAGGCTTCTACACACCAAACATTACACAAAATACTGATAACAAAGACTCTGTGACAGAGGATAGTAATTCTTCTGATATAAGCCAACAATCTACAGGAAATATTTATCGCAATCCTAGACCCTTACCTCCAGTACCTCACTAAAATCAATGTTTCAACTATACAAATTTGATACAGAGTCTGCATGAAGTTAAGATATTTCTAAAGTTATATTATAATTAACTAACATGTGCTATTTAAATTTACTCTCAAACTATTTTAGTATTTCCTTCTCGGTATGGGTAAGACTGGCAGCACAAACATCATCTCATGTATTGAATTTCTCAAGTTTAGTCATTTTTTTTTCTCCACAGAATGATTCATTTATATAGGGTCTACACATCTTAAGCTGGCTTATTTGTGCTAAGACTATAAAATTTATGCTGTTTATTGAGGCAAATTTTTCAACTTCCAAATCTCACATCAATGTAATCATGTACTTCTGACATAAAACATGAAACTACAACATTTCACTCCTAGACGGGAACTGTAAGCTTTACCAAACCTAGTATACAATACCAAAGAAACTGTTTCAAAAAATGATTTTTATTCCTATTAATTTTCTTATAGTGTTTATTTGTTAAATGTTTTGTAGTAAAATATATGTTGCAAAATCAAAAAAGAAAATAAAAATAAAAAGGCTGCATGTTGCCTATGGGGACAAATAATCAGAATCTCTCTGGAATATAAGTCCAGGAAAAAAATCACCACAGGAAAAATGTGGTAATATGTTTGTATATCTGGATTATATCTTGTTCTAATAAACTGTGTTGTATATGTCATCATGTATCATAAAAACAATTCAAATTCAACAGATCTATTTGTTGTAATATTCTATGATTTCAGTTTATAGATAAATAAAACTTAATGCTGTTGGAGTATGCTTCCACAGCAGAAGCACTTGTCTGGTCTTATGTAAATGAAATGTATGCTCAAATCTGTTTGGAACACACAAAACTGAGCACACTTTAATAAACAGTCCCAAATGTGATGTTTATATATATATATATATATATATATATATATATATATAATATAAGTTATGAATAAACAGTTTCTTTAGAATATCATTCTTTTGTGTGAATTATTCAATATGCCTATTGTTTTATTCTATTACATTTCTAATTATTTGTTAATTATTGCAATTTTATGATTTTATTTAGCAAAAGTAAGTGACTGATCTAAACTATTTTATAGAAAAAATAAATATATCTAAGCTGCATAACAAATTCTATTAATGTTTTTAATTTTGAAATGATTTTTGTAACAGAATTATCAAACACATTAATTAAGATTTTGGAAGGATTTAATTATATTATTTTCATTACAAATAATTTTTTGTAGAAGTGATTTTCATAATTTACTTGAATTCACAAGCAAGGATAAATTTTTACAAATTGTCAGGTTTTTACTGCAAAATACTTAGCTTCCATTCCATTTGAATAAGTATTTTTAAAAGGAAAAGAAAATAGCTGTATTGAAAATTGTTCATACATAATACTTACCTTAAAAAACCTACCTTAATGAGAGCTACGATTTCATGTTGACATTGAGCCTTTGTGATTCAATTTGGATGGCAAGAAGGAAGTAGGCAACAAAGAACAATGAGCTTAGAAAGATGCAATCTGGGTTTGAGAGTAACAGTTTTTAATTTGAAACTTCTTTTAAAAAATTAGATATGATAACATTTACTTTTCTGTATTCATGAATTCTGAGAACATCAACTATTAAAAATAGTATTTTTGTAAGTTGGACAAATTTCTTTTATTAATGCTGAGTATCAATGATTGCTTATTGTAGCAGCCATGATATGCACAACACACTAGCTAGGACTGCTGCCTCCTTTCTTACATTAGTCAAAGAAATCAAGCATCTGCACACCTATTCATCTTCATAAGAAACAATAACGTTTTTTTTTCAAGAATTAAGCTTTTTTCCCCCAGAGAGATACACAATATTTTAATTTTAAAGGTAAGTAATTTTTTTTTTATTTTTGATAGAAATGATGTAATGTGATGGGGTGATGAAAGGTTTTCAACCCTACCAAGAAGCTCTTGAAAAAACAACTTTTGTTTGTGGCAATTTGGTTAGATTTTAAGACATGGGTTGGGCCTAAAACTTTTCAACACCCCCTTGTAGATAATAATGTAAATGAATAATATGTCTTTTTAACTTTCATTAACAGTTGCTTTTAGGTTTTATTGGATAAGTTCAGAATATTAAATTTTAACAAAATTCATGTTACTGTATGTGAGACACTGACTTATTTCTCATGTCTGATTATTTCTCTATCACAGTCAATAAGGACTTTGAAAAAGAAAGTATCAATATTATCCAAAAATAATGATATTTACTGTGAATTTTCTTCATATAGAAATACCTGTTTGATTATATTCTTAATCATTAACTAACAATTTAAAAGAAATTCAATTCAGCCTGTCACAACAAATTTGCATTTATACAGAGGCATGTAGATTTGAAATTTTCAATGTGTTATCAACAAAAATGGCTGCTACTAGTAATAGTGATAGTTTCAATAAATTTTGTAAAAATATTTGACATTGTAATAAAAATTTGTTTAGTTAATTTTTTAAATTGCTTTTAGCTATAAAATGTATCTGATATTGAAAATTGAACAAATATTTTAAGTATTAATATGACAGCCAAACTAAAATCTTCTAAATTATTCATGTATAAGTAAGTAGAAAATATGAAAAATTCTTTATAGTAATATTAATTCATATTTCAAATGAATTAAAAACAGATTTTGTTATTTTTAACAGAATTTTTTTTTCTGTATTTCAGATTTATTACAATTTGATCAGGGTTGTCAATTATAAAAATATTTTTATTTTAAAGTATGTTGTTACAAACATATATTGTACTTTCTCTTCTTAATGTATATGAGTGTGTTGACCTGACATTCAAAGTTGATGAAGGGAAAAGTCCTGGTACTTACCTGGGAGACATTGCTGCTGATTCTAATGTCATGGATGATGTGGCAATCCAAGATCAAAATCTAATCACATTCAGTCTTATGGAACAGGATGGAACAAGCAGCTCTCCATTATTTCGGATTTCTAAAACAACAGGAAAACTTTACACAGCACAAACATTGGATGCTGAATCTCTGTGTACATTCAACAAGGAATGTTTTTTAATGGTGGATGTTGCAGTTCAAAGGGAAAGTACAATAAGCAGAATATTAGAAATCAAAGTAATCATTCAGGATGTGAATGACCATCAACCTGAATTTCCTGATAAACAAGTTAACATTAAATTTTCAGAAGGTGATGTTATGGGAATGAAAATATCAATTCCTAATGCCATAGACAAAGATGTTGGTGCTGTAAATTCAAAGATAACTTATCAGCTAAAGAAAAGCAAAGATGAACCTTTTACTTTGTTTATTTTTAAAAAAGTAGATGGAACTTCAGATTTGAGTCTTACATTAGAACAAAGACTTGACAGAGAAGTAAAAGACTCTTATTTGATTCAAGTAATTGCAAAAGATGGAGGATCCCCACCTAAAGAAAGTGTCTTACTTGTTCACATCTCAGTTACAGACATCAATGATAATATTCCAGTTTTCTCCCAAAATGTCTACAATGTTTCTATTAAAAATAATCCAAGTGAAACTTCTTCCATTGCTACTTTATCAGCAACAGATTTAGATTCTGGCAAAAATGGAAGAATCACTTATCATTTCAGTACGAAAACAACTGATGTTGCTAAAAATCATTTCAAACTGAATGAACAAACTGGGCAGATATTTTTAGAGAAAAAATTTACATTAGGTAATATGTTGACATATCATTTATATGTGGAAGCCAAAGATGGTGGCAGCCCACCCTTGGAATCTCTTGCTATGGTTTTAGTAAATGTAATCAACCAACAAAATAATCCTCCAACTATTCACTTAAAATTCTTATCAGCATCAGGAAAAGATTCAACATCAGTTTCTGAAGGAATCAAAATTGGCAGTTCAATTGCTTATGTAAAAGTAACTGATCATGATGTTGGACAAAATGGAGAAGTGAGTTGCAATCTCCATTATGATAAATTCAAACTACAAAGTCTGGATACAAAGAAATATCAAGTAATTGTGAAAAAAGCATTGGATAGAGAAACAGAGGCAAAGCATGAAATTATCATCAGCTGTCAAGATAAAGGATCTCCTCCATTGCAAAGTAAGAATAAGTTCTCTATCCAAGTGACCGATGTCAATGATGTAAGACCACAGTTCTCTGTGGAGACATTTAAATTCTTCATTGAAGAGAATCAGAAATCCAGATTTTCTGTTGGTTTCATCAATGCAACAGATCCAGACTTGGGACTTGAGGTAAACTCACTTATTCTCTGCTTACCAATAATAAACAATTTTTACCTTTCAAAGTGAAAGATGATGGCATGATTTCAGCTATTATGTCACTGGATCATGAGTTTCAAAACATTTATAAGTTTCAAGTATTTGTGAAAGATAATGGAATACCATCTCTGAATAATACAGTGAATGTGATTGTTGAAGTAACTGATAAAATGATAATGCTCCATATTTTACATTTCCCAGTGTTAATCCTTATAACATGGATATTGTATATTTCCGCATCATTCAAAGAATATCACGTCTCTAAAGGCAGCTGATGGAGATAGTCAAGAGAATGCATTTCTAAAATATGAAATAATCAGAGGCAATGACAAGCAGATATTCAGCATGAACCAGTATACTGGTTTATTAAGTTTCAATCGAGTGCTTAGCCAACAAGATGCTGGCTCATATGAGCTAGTATTTGTTGTGAAGGATAGTGGTAGCCCAGTTTTATCAGCAACAACTAGTATGTTTTTTTTACACTAACTGTAAGCAACAAGACAGAAATGCTAAGTGCCATTCATACGATAACTGAAGATAAAGTTGATCTTACATCAGTGATTATTATTACGGTTGTAGCAGTGACGGTAGCAGTGATCATTACTGCTTCTATATCAGTATGTATCATTCGATGTAATGACCAGAGAAATGTAACCTATGCCCATGCAATGAATCCACCAAATGTGGTTGGTACACCAAATATTGGTCCAAGTGGGAGGTACATGAGTGACCAGAG